ATGCTTGATCCCTAGACACTTTTGATGTGTGTAATTGATGGGACCATGAATCAAAAGTTGATCACGAACCGCGTGTGCAAGGCGGTGCATCCACCAACTCAGCGGGCGTAAATTGCAAAATGCATTTTACATAGAATTTCACAATCTATCTGAGTTGCGGTCCCGCAGTCGCGGCAGGCGCGGGTAAAAATCGCACCGTGCGTGAGTCTTAGCCTAAGAGGGTAAGCATGGCTGGCAGAGCGTAAGTAATGGAAGCCTAGGGCGTTGACCTTACACCACTAAACACCCACTATTTTATATGGTATAGATATTTTTGTTAATTTTATTCCATTATTCGAATCCGAAGTGTAAGTTTTGTAAACTGATGATTTTTATTTATTTGAAGACGCCTATTGTAACTTTATTATCTCTAAAAATAATACTTTAACAGAATCTTTATAAAAATGTATAACTACTATATATTTTTTTGTTTTAGCGCAAATGCCCACTTTATTTAGTTATTATCCATGATAGACATAATGAATGGCACTAAAATAAGGCCTAGAAGAATTTAATATTTTAGATTTCAATAAATAGATCATGACTTTTAGGGCAGGTATAAGTATGTAAGTTCCATAACTTTGTAATATTGGTGCTTTCGGTCTATGTGGTAATCCATATTCATATTTATACTGCATGAAAATATCATTCAGCAAATACACACATCAAAAGTGTCTAGGGATCAAGCATTTTTATGCGGATTTCTTGAGATTGAGATGTGGCTTTGTAATAAATTTATGATTTTATAAATTTATATGGATCCTTTTTGGTGCATTTCATAATTTGAATCAGGAACTGTGAATCAAATTCGAGTAAAAGATGAAAATCAGCTGTCAATATTTTCCCTATAAAAACATACAACGCATTGAAGACATTATTAGTGCTACTGTTTCCCTACTACTGATTAAAACCAACGTTATTATGGAGCGGCGACGTCATTTAAGCAGGGAAGAAATGCTCAGAGCCGTGGGAATGATAGAAGCTGGTTCCCGGCAACGTACTGTGGCTTTAGCTCTGAATACAAGTCAGAGTGTTATCAGTCGACTTTGGACACGATACCGAAGCACTGGTACCGTGGCTGAGCGCCATGGAGGACGGTATCGCTGCACCACACGGAGACAAGACCGATACATTCAAATCTTAACTCGAAGAGCTCCAACAATAACCGCCATGATGTTAGCCGTGAGGCTTCATCACTCTTCAGGGAACTTAATTAGCGACCAAACAGTCAGAAACCGCTTGCATGAAGTGAACCTTCATTCCCGAAGACCGCTACGGGTACCACCTATAGCAATGCACAATCGTAGGATTCGATATCAATGGGCTCTTGAACACAGAAATTGGGCAGAAGAACAATGGCGTTTCGTGTGCTTTTCTGATGAGTCTCGTTTTGGTATGAGACCGGATACAAGACGTATACGACACTGGAGAACCCCTGGACGCCAACAGCGATTAAAATCCTGCCAGGAAGTCCATCCTTATAGTGGTGGAACCATCATGGTATGGGCGGGTATTTGGATCGGCGGAAGAACTGAGTTGATTTGGATCAGAGGCAACCTCAACGCTCAAATTTATGCTGAGACGATTGTATCAGACGTCAACGTTCCTCTACAAGTGCAAATCGGTCCCTTATTTCAGTTAATGCATGATAATGCACGACTGCACACCGCAAGAGTTGTAAGACAGACTCTCGCCGCAGCTAACATCAATGTCCTGCCCTGGCCTGCTCAGTCGCCAGACTTGAACCCGATTGAGCATGCATGGGATATGCTACAGAGAAGAGCTCTGCCGAATATGGAGGGTATCCAGTCGCAAGAAGACCTTTTTTTGTTGTTGCAACGAACATGGGCGGCCATTCCACAGCGTGATTTGGATGAACTCATTTTGAGTATGCCAAACCGATGTTCTTGTGTTGTTAGTGTTCGCGGTAGAAATACGGATTATTAATTGTTTAAGTTACCCAATAAAATTTTAGAGAAAACTGTTATTTCAGTCTTTTTTTCGAACTTTTGTGTTAGTGGTTCAAATGTCAAAAATCCCTTTATTAGGAAAATGGCAAATTTCTTTATTAATGCAAAGGTGACTTGGTTTATCGTTACTGTGACAAACGAAAACACTTTATTTGATGAATCCTTAAAGAAAATTTTAATTAATATCAATCAGGAGAAAAGTTATTGCAAAAATATATGTTGATCCCTAGACACTTTTGATGTGTGTAAATCAAAATTATGTGACAATAAAAATAACTTACTTCTCTAACATCTGAATGCAAAAAAATGCTTGTAAGTTGAAACACGAGACACAGAGATTAATTTGTAATACAAATGTCCTTGCGATGTTTGTTAAACTTATGTTTTGTTATTTTTTAGTCTCATCATCGTGACAGTGGTTACATTTTAGTATGTTAGCCACATAAAAGGTTGAATTTCTACCTACTAATAATTTTGAAGCAAGGCACACGTTAAAACTTAAAACTACACGTGACTATTATTTGTTAGCTTGTTAAATAATAATTATTTCGGACACATTCTATAGTCACCGTCAGTCATTGTCAAATGGTTGCATATCAACTGGGACACGTGATTCATCCTTAAACATCTATTCTTAGAATGGAAATAAGCGTATGCATAGGATAAACGCTGTTTGCTTACAAATATCACCCTTGGTATTTTCTTAAGCTAGTATATCAGTATCAGTGTATTATCATGAACCACTTATTGGTCCATGGTACTACGGAAATGAGGTTCTTCTATACATTATATTTTTATACATGTCGACTGTTAAAGCAAGACATTCTTATGTAAGTACTTTTAAAAAGTAACAAGGTTACAAATAAGTGTATGGTTTGCTTGATGGAAAGTCACCAAAGCTGAGGAGCTCGATGGCGTTGGTGATTAGCGCGTTCGGCTGCGATCAGTAAAAGTAAAGCAACTTTCGCAGTGGTCGGTCATTCGATAGGTGACCAAAAATCTTCTCGAGTTCTTCCGTGCTTCAGAAGGCATGTTAAGCCGTTGGTCCCGGCAGCGTCTGCAGTCGTTAGCACCCGCCTATCCGCACTGGGCCCGCGTGGTGAGTCATGGCTCAATCTCCCTATTCCATCCATAGAGAAGGCCTGTGCTCCAGTAGTGGGGACATTAATAGGCTGATGATGATGAAGCCACCAAAATAGTGCCTACCTATATGGAATCTTGCGATACCAGAGTATCTCGCCAAGAGGATCAGTGTGTTTATAATGTAACTTTTATCAATCTTATAGATCTACTAGATAGTATCAATAGAGTTTCTCTGCGATCATAACCTTTTTCAATGAATCAGTCAAATATCGGGTTAGTAATTATTGAGTATTATGTTAGAGACCAACCATTCTACCACTAACGTTTGAAATCATAGACCACTTTCAGAATTCAAGAATAACTATGGACCCTTGTCAAAAAAAAATCCAGGTGATTTCATTATACTGAATCACTAATTCTCAATTAGCTAAACGTGAAGGTACCCTTAAATACTCCAGTGTCCCGATATACATATTTGTTATTTGCCCTGAACGTTTTGCTTATGCTGCTGATGCTAAGCCTTTATGGGATATGATGTAGTATTAAACTTTCATTGAGAAAAAATAACTCTAGATTGTTTTAATATTATCAAAAACCTTAATTGTGAATACACTCTCTACTAGTTGTTAGATTCTTTGTTGGTGTCGGTTTTTAGTTGCTTCTTATTAGATACTAGGTGTTTAGCTTATATACGTAGGGTCTCTAGTACTTATAACTGCTTAAGTTTTGCAAAAGCATAAAATTTAAAAAAAGTTTTAAGATCTTGCTTTGAATCGGCTTTATGTTTGAATGGCACGCGGTTAACCAAGTTTGAGTTCATTCGATGGCTGTTCGTTTTTTTCGCATGAAAACCAGTTTGTTTTCGGACGTTAAAATCTTCCTATGCTATAGCAGCTCGGTGTTCATTGATATTTTCAATATGTTTTGTTGAAATTTTAAAGAAAATTAAAATAGGGATGTTTTAAGTTATCGATATTCTATAATATTATATAATAACTTTTTTATTTATTTGGTCAAGGGTACTCCATCGCTCATAATGGCTATAAAATACAAAGTTGAAGATAAAAAAAGTAGGGATTAAAAAGTTTCGGTATATTCTTCATCCATAGTCATACACATTGATGTTTATTTTATACGATGACGTAATTTTATAGGATCATCATAGTAATCGCGGAGCTTAAATCTTATTGGAATTTCGACTTTAAGCAATAGGAATTGTATATAGTCTATTATACGATACACATAAATTTAGTGTATAGAATATAAGCACATATATTTGTAGGTAAAGCCAAAGGTATTAGTTTAGCATCTATGACAGCAAAGACGATGACGTTATATTGGCTTGTAGGTACCCATTGTTGTACCGATTTCAAATCATGCATGTTGTAATGTGGCTATGAAATCAACTCAATTGAATCTTCTCACAGACTTTTTTTTATCTTTGATTATTAAAGCGACATTCTAAATCATAAGAAACTTTTCTGATTCCTAATGAGAATTCTCAATATTTTCATATATTAGTAGTACTCCTCAAATATCCAAGTTATGAGTTATGAGGTAATAACATGACATATCTTTAAAAATCTATGATGTTGTATTAGTAGTTTAGATTGTGACAAGTATCAAAAAACATCTGGCGCCGAATAAGTACACCGCAATAAGTATTAACTTATTCCCGAGGAATGTAGGTCATGGCTGAGTCCTTGTAACCCAATTCTGGACCTCCAGCATCCCGAATCAATAACTAGGCGTAACAAAACACGACCTATTTACGAAGTCTGTCTGATCAAAACTACATAAGTAAGAAACGCATGACATTGCAAACGAACTACTCGTATATATATAAAACGACCGGCCAGCCATGTATCAAACCCGGCATGATGAGAATTCTACAAGTTTCAAACTTACCTTTCTTTGTGCTTCGGCGGCAAATCCGGATTTGGTAGCACGATTGTTGGCCATGTTTGAACTAACTAAACTATGTAATGCGTATAAATAATTATAATAAATAAATCACAGACACGGTTAGTCGCCGTGAAGTCACTGCGTATAGAATGTAAACAGCGTTGGCTTGCAAACGAGTTGTATGTGTGAGTGTGTCGTGATGAATGACATCATGCGACGGTCGGCGCGCGGCCCGACTAGCCTCCTATCTGGGCAGGGCGCAACCTGTTGTCGATAGCTTTGGGTGCTCATAAATTTTATATCGATATTTTATTTAAAAGCATTTCAGAATCTTTTTGTTTTATTTGTAAAGGAGGCTTGTGCATTTGGGATATTAATGGACTGGAAAAAAGTAAAGGTTTGAAAATTTTAATACTGTTTTGATATAGGTACATATAATATCATATAACGCCAATATTGATATGCATATAGCATTTTCAGCTGCTTAATATCATTATCATCATTAGCCTAATCCAATTAACGTCCATACTAATGGGGAAGAAACAATCAGTAGGTAATCAAAGTTGTATACGAATTATAATAAAACTTATTAAAATCTAAAAAATATTTTATATTGTTAAGTAAGTAATAACTATATGTAAATTATTTATTGTTTTAAAAAAATATAGAAATAACTTCACAATAGAAATATGTTTATCGATATCGATAATCTGCGCTTACCAGCCATCGATAACGATACATCACTACACCTCAAAAAGTAAAACGAAAACCAAGTATGGGATACAATGAGTGTGAAAGAGCAAGAAAACATTCTATGCTGCTTTAATGTCTCGACTGTACGGCGCGCTACCTCTGCTCCGCGACGTGCGATGCAAGGAAAGGTGAATTGGGCAGGGATTTGGACCATCTGTCCAAATGGCCTATTGAAATAATTATTGTTAGCGTAGGTAGGTAGGTGATAGTAATTAACACCCATTAAAATAAAGTACAGAATCAAATTAATTAAAATTATCAGGAAATAATATTTTTATGTCCTGATAATTTTAAGCATTAGTAGGCAGTTATTATCGTAAAAGTATAGTATCATCATCATCATCAACCCATGCTCGTCCACTGCTGGACATAGGTCTCCCCTAATGCACGCCACTGGTCCCGATTTTGTGCTACTCTCATCCAGTCCACTCCAGCCAGCCTACGAATATCATCAACGCATCTTGTCTCAGGGCGTCATACCCTATATACCTATAGTATACCTAGATACATACTGAATTCAACTACTTAAAACATCAATTATTAGTATTGAAAGTGAAAGTAAATCTCTAGTTAAAGTAGTCAAATCTGTTGTTTTCATGCACAAATTACCTTCTTTAAGCAACCTGCAAATTTGTTATCTGTGACGGCATAAAATAAATCGATGTGGCTTATTAAAGAAGATAGATCCTAGTAAGTACTATAATTATGACGTATGATAGTACTTTATTATCGGGCTAGTTTTCGATTTGTTTCTACTAATCTTTCTAGCTTTTACTATTTTCGTTGACATCTTTTATTTATTTAAAAACAAATAGACAGGTACCAAATTTAAATGTTATGAAAATGTAGAGTTAATAAATATTTTACAAAGTTTATTAAACGTTTAAGATTCCAAGTGCAAGCGTCATCTGTCGTGTTTTACTTGAACTAACCTTTGCCGCGAGCAAACTGGTTTAGAACCTTTGCTTGAGTAACCTTCCAATGGATTTGCTAGCTTTTTTGAAAGAGGACTCTGTCAATGACTTTACATTCAAATAATACAAACTTACAATTGTTTGTACTATTTTGTAAAATAAATTAATATTATGTGAAACTTGTAATGCATCAAAAACTATCAGTGTTAAGATTCCTATGATATTTTTTCCATTCTTTTCTAATTAGTCTCTTAATAACTTTAAATTAATAAAGATTGCTTCGTTTCCTGAGTATCCTGAGAAGCCTGGCTTGAAGTCAATTACCAACCGGAGGACCTTTTATCGTGATTTAAAAGTGTTTTATAGAACTCTCAGTGCATGTTAAACTTGCAACGTATGTTAAGGTCAAATCTCGTAACTGCATTTAAGCAGCATATAGCATAGCGAAATTCTTTGTCTATGGCAGTTATTCTTTTTATAATCCTATTAGCAAATTCTTATTGATGCTTTAATCATAAAACTATACCTTTTTTACATATTATGTAGGTAGGTACATAAATAATCTTTAAAACGAAGCTATTGGCTAAAACCTACTTTTGGATTGTGAAAATTAGCGACATTGCAATTCCTGCAATATTCAATGAGTCCTCCCTGGAAAATATTTATAATAGCCAGCCTCCTCATAAAAATATTTAAAAACCTATTATTAATGACAACAAACTTGTCAAGATTTAATGACACAACAACATCTATCATAAAGTGGTAATAGTGTAATGCTTTACGGATAGCGTAAACAAAAAAGCTATATAAAAATGAAACTGTTATAAATTCCCAGTGGAAGAAAACATACCTTGAAGATAATGATAACACATTTTTAATAGAGTAATAAAAAGAACAAAAAGAATGGAGCGTGGAAGGAAGTCTCGTCGAGGACGTTATCATGCGCATTGTAACAGCAATATCTGCAATAATTTCACGTCTCCACAGCATCCGAAGACACAATCTTTCCTGAAAAATTTGTACTCCTTCTTCATCATGTCGAGTCTGATAGCCCTTATTTATCTGATGCTTCAGTATCATTGCCAGAATTGTAGGGATAAGTGTGACATGAACAATATTTCTAAGAATCTAGAAGATATTTCTGTGAGTGGATTTTATTATTGAACCTGCTTAAAAAGTACCTAAGTAGTGTCTTATTATGTTAAATCGTTTGTTAGTTATGTACTCGCGTAGATATATTTCAACGTGAGAAACAAATACAAGGATATGTTTCCATGCACATCAGTAATAGTAGGGGAGCTTAAAAGGGGACTTCGGGGTTTACTCGAGCGCGGCAGAATAACATAAGAGGGAGCTACTGAAGGGCTCATGTAACATCCCTTTTTCAATGTCAGATGCGCTCGTTTTTTTTTAATTTCTACCCCTTCATACGACCTCCCCCACGTGAACCCTCCGGTATGGTGGGAGAGGAGTACTAAAAGAAGTGCAAGGTTGCCACCCTTATGTAATTCTGCCGCACTTGAGTAAATCCCAAAACTCCTTTGATTCCCCAATACAGTATCTTACTGCACTTGAAACTTAGACGCAAATTACCAATTTTTATTTTATTTGTGACTGTGTTTCACAGGTAGAAGGCATTTTCCCTAAGTGAACGATTTATTTTAAAAACTATTGTCAGCTATTTGTAAATACACGTAGAGGTATATAACGTGCAGCAAATTACCTACTTAATATCCTAACAGAGTTCCATCCCAAAACAGATATTTTTATCTGTTTTTTTGTTACCTCTGGAAAAAACAATGTTTTTTTTTCTCGAATTTTTAATGTTTCATTAATTTTATTTTCATTTTTTAACAGAGAAATTTATCGATTATCAAAGACAGCTATTATGACTTGGAAGTTAAGATATCGCAATTCTCCCAAGAACTACCGAAATTGGAGGGCCAAATAGATATCTTGGGGGCACTAGCTACTACAATGGAGAAGAGTCATCTCGATGCTTGGGCTCCTGAAACTGTGGAGTCCATATCCAAAGTTGGCAATAAACCACACTTGGAAAATATAACTAAATTGAGACCAACAAACTCAACTGGATTGCCAGAGCAAGTAAAAATTAATCAAGATTGACTAGATGGTAGCAAAAATACAGAAGAACTTAGAAGTGAATGTTTTGGATACTTTTAAAATGACAAAATATGATTTAAATACTTTATTAAACTCATTGACATCGATTTGTTGCTTCTTTTTTCCAATTCAATCTGCAAAAGATATCAATATTAATAACCCTGTTACAGTCTTTCGCATGTAAATCAAAATTTCCAATTTTCATTAGTGTTATAACATCCACGATCTTTACAACATTTCTCTACGTTATTTCTAGATTTGGTATATTTATTATAGTTATAATCTGTTTTATATTCATCCGATCCAAGACCAGCACCCGTTGATTTCAGTGGGAACCTGGTCATAGTAGAGGCGCTTTTGGTATTTTTTTTCTCAGCTTCTGAGTATTGAGCTGTTTTATCTTTCTTATTATTTACAAAAATTTGGGCAGTTTTATTGGAATGAAGTGATTTAGTAATATCGGTAGCATTCCTTTCTTTTATCATAGCTTGAATTTCCATATCATTGAAGGTTCGTCTATCTAAAGATCGTTCTTTCTTACTTTGTGATAGTTTTAATTCTTTTTTCGATATAAGTGTTGCAGCAGTTTGTTTGTTTTCGGTTTTCGCTGCTAATTCAGTCAGTTCTAGATGAAGGGTATCGTATGCGTAACCAATCCTGTTTATTGTTTCCTGAAAATTAAGGTAATTTGATGCATGAGGCTATGTAAATCTCACATTACTTAAAGCATATTTTATATTCTACCAGTTCTGCAAAGGTTATGGCCTATATATTCATATATACGTGGTTTGGAGATAAGATCAAACCATATTTTTTATTAAACTATCCCTTCATATCAAGGGTTGCTACACTACAACGTGTTTGCCACAAAAATTTACATTCTAGTTATTCTTAGTATAGGTACTCGTTCAAGCATAACTTTAAATTAATGTCGTGTAAAATTCAAAAAAAAAATACCTTCAAAGTATGAAGACTTGTTTTCATATTGCTGAAATCTGTTTGAATAATAAAACGTTCCCAAAAATTCATGGAGAGATGTCCAAGTAAGGCGAACATACTAACAAACACGATTAGGTCAATGAACAAAGAAGTAAGAGATTTATGATACGGCATATTGTCGGTAACCTTATATGCACCGGCTACTCCTTATAATGTATGTAGCATTGCTTGTAATATAAAATCCAAACAAAATTGTTGCATAATCATTGATAATTATTTTTTATACTTTACTAAAATAGTTTATTAATTTACACAGAATTTACATGATTACGTGTCATAATACTGTCAGACTGATTGTTTTCTCTATGATGGTGACATTGTCCGAAAAGCTAAACTTAAAAATTTTAAAGACCAAGAACAACGTTAAAGTCGAAACTCCAAGACATTTTTAACTCAAAACATCATTAAAACGTGTTTGGTCTTAACAGCTGAGGTCAAAATGATGAAAAAATAACATTACTATTTAAAATAATAACTTCGCATTATTTTTTTATCTTTGTTTATCCAAGTAATTAGCTGCGGGCTAATATATAAACTTAAAGGACCTTATTTACTACACGATGAGATGTTGCGTCATTTAATGTGTTCCATCGTTTATCTACCACGAACTAATTTTGACAAGAATGTCAAAATTACTTCATGGTATAGATAACCTTCCCCACATTCATTACCCCGCAGGCGAGGACTCAGTTAAGCGGTCTACCTATAGATGGTTAAATCTAATAAAAAGTTATCTATACCACGAACTAATTTTGACAAGAATGTGAAAATTAGTTCGTGGTATAGATAACCTTCCCCACACTCATTACCCCGCAGGCGACGACTCAGTTAAGCGGTCTACCTATAGTTTTTTTTTAGATTTACTAAAAAAAATACCTATGAGTCACGTATAAAAATATTTGGAAAAAAAGATATTTAAAATAATTACACGTAAAACTATTTTTAGGAGGAGGTGAATCGTGCTGAAGCTGCTTGCCTAACCACTGCCGATGAGATCTGTTACCTGCAATGCTCCATGCAAGATGGAACTACGGAAACTGTTAGTATCAGGTCGATATTCCATCTATTTACTCAACTCTTTCTATTCTAGAGATTGGCAGATCGATGAAAGCATAAGCCTATTACTGTCCCCACGGCCGGAAGTACCTTCAATCGAATCACGGAGAAATCCCAGATACTAAATTTTTGGTACCCATCCTGTGATCAGCTATTGGGAAATTTGCTTTCTCTTCTTACTAAGCTTTTAAAGTGAAACTTGTATTACATCACTAAAAATTTTCTCGTCCGTCTTAGCATGTCGCATTAGATTTATAATTGATATTACATTCAGGCTTTATTAACAAGCATCGGTGGTACAACGGTAGAAAGCTCGCCTGTTACGCGGGCGGCCTGGGTTCGATTCCCAGCTGAGGAAGGACTTTTCTTAATGATGAGGACTAATGATGGGTTTATTTATGTTATATCTGAAATATACCTATAATACTAGTGGATTCCCGCAACTTCTTCTTATTAGTTTCCCATAAAAACTTCCAGTCTCCTTTTTGACAAGAATGTGAAAATTAGTTCATGGTATAGATAACCTTCCCCACACTCATTACCCCGCAGGCGACGACTCAGTTAAGCGCTCTACCTATAGTTTTTTTTTAGATTTACTAAAAAAAATACCTATGTCACGTATAAAAATATTTGGAAAAAAAGATATTTAAAATAATTATCTATTAAAATACAACGTTGAATGACTGTTGTCAGGCTCTGTATCATTGTGGAAATAAAAGCACATCGGATTAATTAACGAAGTGTTTATTATAATCACCGAATCAACAATACTCATTTAACAAAATCCAGGTCATTATGATACGAGTAGGCACCTACCAACTGCATTTAATTTGCTATCGTTTTTTCAACGTTGAACGAATCCGTATATAGGTAGGACATGATTGCGATTTCCTGAAAGAGAAATTAAATTTATTGTTCTCCATTCATCAGACTTAAATCGTAATCATTTCTGAAAGTACTTAACTTTACGCAAGATAAACGTGCAGGATGTTTACGTAGAACACATGAGAGAGCTGTTTACTGAACATTATTGGACTTCTGCATCAATCGAATAGTAAATTGTTTGGCACTCTTTTTATAAAGAAATTTACTTTTTATAGGTATATTTCTTTAATAAAAATAAAGCTTTTTAACCCTTTTCAAAGCTCAGGTCTGATCATGTATGGAGTATTGCAGTCAACTTTGAAATGACTCAGCCAAATACCAACTTGCTGCACCGGACTCGATGGAACGCAGAACCAAGAGGATTATAGGCGACGATATATTGGTGGAAGTTGTGGCCGTTTTTGGTTCTCATTCCGCCTTCCTCCTTTTACCATCGGACGTCCAGAAGCGCTGCAGGTTACCATTCTTACTTGTTTGCTGTTCCATTCGCACCCCATTCGCACCGAACGCTTCTTAAATTCTTTTGAGAGTGCGCGCACAGCGAAGGAGTGGAATTGCCTGCCTGCGTCAGTGTTTCCGAGCACACATAATCCGAATCTTTTTAAAGCCAGAATAAATAGGCTACTTCTGGGTAAGCTCACTACACCGTAGATTGTATCTCTGATCTTGGGCTGGATAGAAAATCAAGAGCTTACAAAGAAAAAAATATGGCTAATCGTACCTTGTGGGATGTGTTTGTGTGAGGGTTGAATATTCGCTGGAAAATGCCGATTTCTCTTTCGACTTGGACTGGTTCGGAGATCCTTGAGGACATGCACTCGCTGGTGCAGACTGACAAGTCTTGTACGTCTCTTAGCTGCTGTAGGCATATTTTAAAATCCATACTAATTTTATAAAAAAAAATGCAAAAGTGAGTTTGTCTGTCTGTTCCGCTGCACGTTGCTTAAATCACTGGGTTGATTGCGATGTAATTTAATAGAATAGAGATCGTTGGAGTTCTGGGCAAGGACGAAGGATAGGGTGGTGAAAAGGGGACTGGAAGTTTTTATGGGAATCTAATAAGAAGAAGTTGCGGGCATCCACTAGTATTATAGGTATATTTCAGATATAAGATAAATAAACCCATCATTAGTCCCCATCATTAAGAAAAGTCCTTCCTCAGCTGGGAATCGAACCCAGGCCGCCCGCGTAACAGGCGAGCTTTCTACCGTTGTACCACCGATGCTTGTTAATAAAGCCTGAATGTAATATCAATTATAAATGTAATGTGACATGCTAAGATGGACGAGAAAATTTTTAGTGATGTAATACAAGTTTCACTTTAAAAACTTAGTAAGAAGAGAAAGCAAATTTCCCAATAGCTGATCACAGGATGGGTACCAAAAATTTAGTATCTGGGGTTTCTCCGTGATTCGACTGAAGGTACTTCCGGCCACAACTACAGTCATTAGCGCCCACCAAACCTGCCTTTGATTCAGCAGTGGGGACAGTAATAGGCTTATGCTTTCATCGATCTGCCAATCTCTAGAAGTTGAGTAAATAGATGGAATATCGACCTGATACTAACAGTTTCCGTAGTGCCATCTTGCATGGAGCATTGCAGGTAACAGATCTCATCGGCAGTGGTTAGGCAAGCAGCTTCAGCACGATTCACCTCCTCCTAAAAAAAGTTTAACATGTCATTGCCATATGCAAGACATCTGACAATTTGATTATTATATCACCTTTTTTTCATACCTAGAAAAGACTCGCTCATTTCACAGGTAAAAACTAGAGAACACTCCTGCACCGTTTATTCGAGAGAATACTCCTGCACCGGTCACCCGAGACAAAATTTGAGGAATGGGAGGAGTGAATCGGTGCCCTACATGCTGCAAAGATCTGAGTTCCCAATTGGTTGGGTTGGCATGGTGCCGACGCTAAATGTTAATTTGACTTAAAATATATTTTTTGTTGTTGTGTTTTGATTGACGAACTCCGTGGCCGAGTGGTTTGTACGCCGGGTTTCAAGGTGTCGCCGACTCGAGAGGTCATGGGTTCGAGTCCCGGTGGGGGTAGATGTTTGTGTGCTGAATACGAGCATTTGTACTCCAGCCATGGATGTTTAATATGTATTTCTATATAAATATACTTATATATGTACTGTATATGTATTCTATCCGTTACTCTAGTATCCCATAACACAAGCCTTACAATGCTTACTTTGGGACTAGGCTAATTGGTGTGTGGTGGTAATATTTATTTACTTTATTATTATTTTATTTTACGTAATCGGTTTTTATTTTACATTAAATATTTTGACTTCCTTTTGAACTATAATGTTCCGATACCACGAGTTTATGGTTAATGAAGTGATACATAAAATATTAAATTAACTGTAACACCTTTAATGTAACCTACTAACCTTAATTTTACAGATAAATAATGTGATTGTTATTCTCGATTCCGGAATTGTAATATCAGATCTCGCGTTCCCAGATTCCGATATTACAAAATTCCGAGATTTATTCCTTAGTGATCACATCTAATCACATGATACCGATGAAAACAATGGCACTGGCACAGTGATAAACGCTTTGACATGCTTTCATTGGTTGGGTTAGCAAATATTATAAATTATTTTAGACCCCATGCTTTTGAAGGCTGTTCACCCACAAGCAGTAAGTCCAAGCTATATATATCTACAGATATAAAGAGTACCTGTCCATGTGGACTCGCGTATATCTATCTAGCCCATATAGAAGTTTGAACAAATAATCTATTTTTAATTTTGATTTGATTTCTGATTACCTTGCGTTCTATAGTGAGAAAATTGAAACTTCGTACGAATTCAACAAAATAGAAAACGAAAACAGAAAATTTTCGTTCGAATTCAACGAATTAAATATCAATCTCGTGAAAAATTACAACTACCTAATTTCATTTATTTGTATTAAATTGCTAGATTTTCATAACTAACAATAATTTTGACTTTGAAGCTGCTTAGCTGGCTTGCAGCCTAGAAATACTAGAAGAAAGAATTTTGATGTGTCTGTTACGATTTGGTTGTCTAAAATGGTCAGATTTGGCCGGAAAACGGTTCCCGTTCGATTCTACCGTAGTACCTGGGAGGAAACTCCTTTAGATATGAGCTACAACTTTATTAAAACTACCATGCCAGGTACGTATACTTAGGTAGTTGATGTTTATTTATTTATTATAAAGACTATCACAGGTCGATATATTTCTACGTGAAAATTTATTTTCAATTTTGTATTTATTACATCTCCAATTAAATTTATACCGCCAAATTACAGTCACCGCACAGATGTCGCTTAATATAAGAAGAAAAGGGTTCTTAGATCCAATAAACAAATCAATATCAAAAATAGTTTATTGAAAATGTGTGGGAGTCTGGTGAATACAGCGTTTTGTCCGTAAGGCGATGTGGAACATGTAATTACCGTAATGTGTAATAATGTTATCCTGGTTTGTAAAAAGTAGACGTTAAAAAAAGTTTTTTCTTGGCTGGGAATCTAACCAGAGCCGTCCGAGTGGCAGGCGAGCTTTGTACTAGGTGGTTAATAAGGTTTATTTTTTTATAACAATTTAAAATGTAATACGACAAGCTAAAGATGAACGATTAATCTTGTGGCGATAATAAAAGTTTCACTTTAAAAGTGTCTGCTCAAAAGTGAGGTACATATTGTCCGGTAGATAGTGATTTTAATTATGACGGCAAATAATGTGAAGAAACCAGGAACAATGCACAGTATGAAGAAGAAAAATTTAGTGGAGCTAATTTTACGTTTCGCAGAATGAAACTAATAAAACCTTTAAGTAGCAAGCTAGGATATTCGCATGTGCAAACTGCATACGTATTATTTTCTCCTCGGTCGTCCGGATTGAAAAAAAAATACAACAGGTCCGTCGTCTCGAATAATCCGTCGGGCATCGTATATATTAACTGTTGGCTGCCGAATTACACTTACGCGATGTAGGCTTCCTTACGTTGCCGCCGGTAGCGTCATCTCTTGAGGAGGCGAGTGATTATTTCCTCCATGTTAGTTATATGTGGGGCATATAGATGTCGCCGCCACAAATAACATGTAGGTAATGTATGTTAGTTTATTGTCAGTCAATTGTGAGGTGTTATAAAGAAACGGGAAAAATGTTCCAATCTATATAAATGTTATAATAATGATTTTGGAAACGTAACTGAAATTTTATATTCTCTAGTTCGTTACGAATGCCAGTCACGTTTGCTGACAACTGAAATACCGGCGCGATTTTATTTATTTGCATTCATTTTACTTTTCGACATTGCACTGAAAATGTTCCTCTTTTTACCATGAAAAATATAGTGAAATTGTATTCATGTATATTTATTCTGCTATAAAAATTTGCGATTCATTTATTAGTACCGAGAAATATGAAATATCAAATTACCCCAAATTCTTCCCTGTTCTGAATATTATTGGGGAAATTATTATTTTAATATTAGTTAATACAAAATATTGACTAAGTGCGGGTCGGATTAATACAAAGACAAAGAATAAGCTTGAGTAGACTCTAAGTTTCGTGTTTTTATTTAGGTCTCTAAATAAAAACACGAAACTTAGAGATATGAGGTCCCTTATATATCTATCTGTCGGGTTTTTCTTCCTTTGAATTTTTATTATTTGTTATAGTTAGTTAAAGTGGCAATAGAAATTCTCAATCTATGAATCTCTTTGAACACGAACCACAAGGTATCTTTGTAGAGACCAACTCACCGTCATCACATCAAGAACTTTCTTCATGCTGTTCAACTCTGTGGTAGCGTGCATCTTCTTTGATATATCCGGTATGAGAAAACTCAGTAAAACGACAGCGATGATAGTAGCCAAAGCGAGGTAGTTCCCGTATGCCAGGCTGTAACCCGTCCAAATGTATCGTAACATGAGATTGATGAAATTCTGGAAGCTCTCGATGGTGGTCTTGTTGCTTGGAGCTGCCGAGTGTGCGATCTGGCGGTCTTGTCGCGTGTACATACCTAAGAGACACGAACATAATGGTCATAAAATTCATAATAACTTGAAAAAACATAAGAAACTTCGCTTTTGGAACTAAAATTAGGCACTGAAACATTAAGTACTTTCAAACTTTGCAAGAATCCCTGACAACTTTGTAACTATACTTACTTTTGTTATAATAAATGATGCAGTTAACTGCATATGCATCTGCATACTAATAATTAAGGTGGTTTTACTTTCAACTGGAGTTAAGACGGATTGACATTAAGCTCTAGGTTAATATTTTGTGGTACCTCAAAGAAACGTTAATTATTATTATTTCCTAAATTCTTTTATAATTAATTATTTTACCTGTGTAAACGTGATGCCGTCGTTTTGCCATTTTTACGTCTCCCACAAGGAAATATAGCTATGATACATATTATTTTTATAATTTATTTGTTCATCGAATTTCTTTTTATGTTCTGTTCTGGTGATGTCAAGATTGGCATAAAACAGAGTGATTACTTTCTCTATGGTTGACATAGATTATACTTCAATGACTAAACCAAAACAGATTTTCAAAACAGCGCTCGAATTGGAGCGTACATACGTACAAAAGGCCACAGTAAAATATCGCATCCTTTTGGTGGTGTTGTGTTTCTGCTAGTAAGTTGGGTTCTAGGGGTCCTCGGGGTTGGGATTGGGTCAGAGTAGGCAACGGTGAGTGATTTTTTGTGTCGCGTCTTTAAGCTATGGTGACTATATGCTATTTTGCTACCATAAAAAAATTCTACGAAATTCGCCACTGTCACTGCTAGAAACGTGACCTTCCTTGTGAATGGAATAGGAACATTGGGTCATAATCTACCAAGCGGGCTCAATGCAGATTAGTGCGTTGTTAATGACTGTAGCTGCATCCGGAATCAAGGGTATAACGTAATTTCCTAAGCAAGGAAATTTTTGGACACACAATATTTGACGACCTCCGTGGTCGAGTGGTTTGTACGCCGGGTTTCATGGTGGCGCCGACTCGAGAGGTCCCGGGTTCAAATCCCGGTGGGGGCAGATGTTTGTGTGATGAATACGAGCATTTGTACTCCAGTCATGGATGTTTCATATGTATTTCTATACAAATATACTTATATATGTACTCTATGTATTCTATCCGTTACCCTAGTATCCCATAACACAAGCCTTACGGTGCTTACTTTGGGGCTAGGCTAATTGGTGTGAGTGTTGGTAATATTTATTTATTTATTTATTTAATATGTTGGTCATTAGGATTTTTTCTTAACAATTTATTGCACACCGAATGCGCTAACCACTTTGGTAATCGAGCTTCTCCAAGTTAATAAACAGCTCAGGACTTCAAAAAAAAACTTAAGAATGCAACAACTTTATTCAAACAAATAAAGTACAAACAATTTATAACTCTTAACATTCCTAAAAATACTAAGCATACAATTAAATAGCATCCTATGCGCACGTGCTATCAACAATTTATTTGAAGTATCTTTAACAGATTTACGCGATTTGAGCAGTTTATTTTTAAACATCTTCTAGGCATTTCCTTTACAATAGCATTTACTGGTGACTGTAGTCCGTGGTTTGGATAACTTAAAAATGTTTCATAGAAGTGTTCAAAGTGACGAATATGAATATTCTGCGTTCTCGAGTAGGTATTTGATACCTTGTCGTATTTAGCTCAGGTTTTCTCATAAATTTTCTTCCAAAATATTCGGAAAGAATTCTCAATTTGCGAAATATAAAGAAAAAACTTAAACTCCAAAATATTGTTCGGAGTTGTAATATTTTGGAAAAGCAAACAGTGAATATTTTTTGTAGTTATCTGAGAGTTTAATGTCAGTGAAATGCCGTCATCGTCTATCATCATCGTCACAGCACCAGGAGCAGCAAGAAGTTTTCTTCTGTATGAACCGGGAGCACTGCCGGGGTGTGGAGAGATGATCTGTTAGAATCAAAATTTAAAATTCGATGAAATTAATTGGAACCGATCTTATTTTTTTATTTATCGCAGGAAAAGTAGCATCGGAAGCTGATTTTTTTAGGTTCTCATTAGGTGCATATCTTAATAGCTCAATTACACTTGGTCGTTAGCCCGTGATACCTGTTCACAGACATTACTCGAATTCGGGCACCCGTAGCAATATTTACATTGGAATACGGGCTAGAAGGCGGTGTCAGGTAACCAAAACGAAAATTACCCAATTACCGGCGTACTCGACTCCGTTTATTTACACTGTAATTCGGGATAGCGACCAAATGTAATAGCTTAAAAGATAGAGATAGATTTAAAGATGACTATTTCGTTTCATATATTATTTTCAACACTCACGATTTGGAATACATGTTGGCATACTGTGTAGGAGGACTCTGAAATAAAGAAGAAATACAAGTTATGATTATATCTGTTCCCTTGCTACTATTCAATAGAGTGCGTAGTATTCAAGTCAGAACCAATGGTCTTACTTTGTTTCTTGAAACACTAAGCTTAAAATGATACCGTTTCACTTATCCATACGATAAAAGAATTGCTACGGTCGGTTGCTACCAGAAATAGAAATCCCAAAGCGCTAACATCTTAATCATAAGCTATTAAGATATATTTTACACATAATTTAAATTTTGATGTGATATTTCTTTACAAGTAAAGATATTTTTTACATATAAGTTCAACAACATTCGCTATCCAAGCGAAGTTATGCTACCGGGAACGCAACGCATATGTTGATTTTTTACGAATTTATAGGCTGCAAACAATATATAGGTTGTATTGTTGTATTTTCTCTAGTAGTTATAAAACTTATTTATTTCTATGCTTACGATACGCTCGCTGCAATGAAGCAGATTTTGTTTTAACATACTAATTTATAATTAATTTTTGCAATTAGATCATACTGATGAATCTATATATGTATCTAAAATAAAAATGAAGTTCGTGAATTGACAGGGCAAGGTTTTTATAAAAGAAAATTTTAAAAACGAAGTTCACACACTCACATTTCAGATTATGAGATATATAAAAAAATATATATTATCTCATAATCTAAAAATTAGTAAGTGAATAAGACAGAAGACTTATAGAAATCTTCATCGTATTGACAAAACATCGACTTCGAAAATATTCACGATTTTTTTTGGTTTCGATAGTGATATAGTGAACGTTTTAATAAACCACCAACCTGGAAGAAGCACCCTGTGGTTTTATATTTTGTTTGTTGCAGTTCTGAAAAGAGACAATCATCTGTTTCATTGTATGCTTCCAGTAATCTTTTTAGATGACTTCCTTGGCGTACACTGTTGGGCCTGGTGTTTAAAGGAAATTGTATTTAGTTCTCTTCAATTGACACTAATTTACTTACGTATTATAAATCAACTATATATTTGACAAAGTTTTGTTGTTATTAGAAAGATCTCTATTCCCTTTATGACAACAAAGTCTTATTACTAAGCTTCCAATGTCACTCCGTCCGTTTGTCAGCAGGCTGCTCATGCAGAGGATGCACGGCGGCAGAAGAAACAGCGACTTATGTTCTGCTGGAGTGCAATGCAATGGAATAGTAGAATACCAGGCGAAATATCTTGACACACCGAGAAACCTTCAAGAGTTAATCACCAATGTGAAGGCCCTGGGGGCGTTCCTGACGGTGCTGGGCTGGCTGAAGTGACTCCGGCAACACAACACAGCTCACGCAAAACTGTTGCTATATGGATGTCGAGTTGCGGAAGCGCCAAAAATAATAATAAGGAAAAGAGAGAGACTTTCCTGACAGAAATGTGCACTATGTTTATCACACAAACTTTTCCCCCTCTCTCCCGATTTTCGAACCCGAGACCGCTTAAATGGCAGTTAGGATTACTATCGCTAAGCCAAAAGGGCTGACGTGATAAAATATAGCTTATGTCACTAAGGAATATTGTAATTTCTAACGCTGAAAGACTTGTCAAATTAGTCCTGTAGTTTTTGAGTTAATTCGTTACAAACATTCAAATCTTTCCTCTTTATAAAATTGGTATAGTTACTTACTTCCGAATAACTAGATAGACCAATATTCCTCAGGACTCTTTCATCAAAGTTAGGAATACTGGTACCAGTCCAGGCTCCACCGACAGCACCATCTGACGGTGTATTCTTGAATTCACTTTTAACATAAGACATGTTAACACCGTGCGTCGGTTTTGGCATTGTATTACTCCTGGACTTACGAATATTTTCGTTATAAATGTTTTGAAAATGAGAATCACTGATTGATGATGCATCGGTAGCGCTTTGAGTGGATGTAGTATAATTAAGTGTTGTTGCATTTGTGTGTAACCCAGGGTCTGAAATAGATGCAAAGAAAACATTTTAGTAGGAATTTGTACCGAGGATTTCTGCTCTACTTATGCGTTTGCCTGGAGACTCATTAATTGGATTCTCTAATTCAACTGAAAGATACTGGCAATGGGAGATAACACACGTGTTCATCACACAAACATTTGCTTTTCCATGATTCAAACCCACTGTTTACATTACTGTATGATAGTTTTCTGTAGTAGATAAGTTTATAAAAAGGTTTTCCAACTCTTTTAACACTTTTTACATACTATCAAAGTGGACTACTCTGGAAAACTCCATTCTTGGCGATAGTAATAATTGAACGTTCAGGTACCCAGGTACAGAGCTAAGTACTTTATTTAACAAATTGCAGCTTACTTACCTATTCTACCAGAAGAAAAATCTCTTTCTCTTTATTCATTACTTTTGGTTCACACTAATACTACATTTTACCTGGTAGTATCGGTCTTGAGTGATGTGAAGTTGGTATTTGAATGAGATTTCGATCATTTAACATTTTCAGAACGTAACCGATCATGACAATAACAGCACCTATTGCCAGTGATACGATGACTAGAGATTTAGTGACGAAATCCTCGAAGCAATCGACCAGGTCATCCATATAACATTCTAAAGAGTTCACCAGTCGTGGGTTGGTACACATTTGTGAACTGTTTTTTTTTTATTTCTTAAAATGTGTAGTAGATATACCTAGATGAAGAAATAATATAATATAATATGTTACACTGAAATTTTGTTTGAGCTTAATAGTAAATTACCTTGCAATACCTCAATACAATTTGCAAGGTCGATTCCCAAAATTTCATGGCAGATTTTGTTTTGGTAACATTTAAAATATGCAGACGTGATATTTTTTTCTTTTCGATTTTAGATATTTTAGCAAGTCTATTTAGTTTTCTTTGTAAACTGGTTTTTAAACTTTATCAATCCAAATCTGATTTAAGTTAATATTAATTTGGACAATATTATTCTAAAACTTTAACGAAATCATGAAGAATACAATTTGACAATTCGAAGAAACTTCATGATAGAACTCGTTATAAGTTTCTGTGAGAGAAGGGTCTTTGTAATGATTATTCATAAACTAAATTGAGATTTAAACGACTCACGTAGGTGTTAGATTAGTGGCTTTACAAAGTTAGATAAGGATAAGACCTTATTTCGGCCCTTGAGAAAGTAAATTCGAATTTCTTCGAGCTATTAGCTACTGGCCCT